GCAAGCCCTGGAGACCTGTCTTTAGTGACCAAGGAGCAAATTATGAGGCCCCTTTCCTGAAGCGTGGACCGACCAGGTCGCTGGTTCGAGGGTAGAATCTGCTGGCCCCGTGGCAGGGGAACCTCTCTCCTCTCCACCTCTGCGCACTCCGGTGGGGGACTGGCCCCAAATCTGACTGAGCTGCTGAGATGAGATTTCCTCTGATTCAACAAACTCGCTTCCCTGTTATCCTCCTGGAGTCTCAGGAACCTCAGGCTCCCCAACTGTAGGACAGAGCAGCTGCCCGAGTCCACAGGATCAGCCAGGCCCCTTCTTGCGGATCTTGCAACCCAAGGCTTGCTCAGGGGAAGGGCTGTTGTGAAAACAAATAGATCGTTTACCCCAAAAGGACCCTTCATGTGCTTATGAATCCAAAAGATGTCATTTATGGTACATTTTAAGGATATAAAAATTATAGCAATATTGATGAGAAGACATTTTATTGCAGTGGCTTCAAAAATCACAAAGACATACCAATTTCACTGGAAGTTCAGCTGATAGATTCTGTCTAGAGTGGCTACCAAGCACGGAGGGTGTTTACAGGAATTATCTCCTTTAATTCTCATGGCAGCCCCGTGAGAAAGTTGATCCTGCCCCCCCCCCGCCCCCCCGTTTTTTAGAGGCAAAGGAGCTTGTCGGGGCCAAAAGAGAATTTGAATCCAGGACTCTGCCTCCAGTGTGGGTGCACCCGCCCCACACCTCTCCGCTCCGTGTTTTAGGCACTTGACCTCAATCAGGAGTAAAGCCTAGGCCTGATTTTCTATTCTTGAGAAATAAGGCACAGCGCAAAAATGTCAGGTCATTAAGCGCCTTCCATGCGGAGCAGGGGCTGATCAACCAAAGGGTTATTCCGCTCCTTTATTTTCTGTTGAAAATAAAATATTACACAACACTCAGATGGTATCGCTCTCCGCTGAGTGGTTTTAGCTTCGCCTGAGAGATGACTCAGGGTAGATGGAGATATCCCCACTTTTGGAAATTAGATGCCGAAGGTGTAGAAGATTGCATTTCCTAAAGCTGGCTGGAACAGTATCTCCTGCCCATGTGCTCTTTCTGCCCCATGACCTCAGCACCCTTTCCCTCGAGTTGTGGTGCCTGAGTGTTTCTGATCTGCCCCCAGGCAGGACTGTTTCTTAACCAGATGTAATCAGGTTAAGATGAGGTCATACTGGATTAGGTGGCCCTAATCCTGTAGGACTCGTGTCCTCATAAGAAAGGGAGAGACACACAAGGGGACACCGTGTGATGGAAGAGGGTGACGTGATGGGGCCACAAGCCAACGCCACCAAGGATTGCGGGCAACCACGGGAAGCTCAGGAGAGGCAAGGAGGATTCTCCCAGAGCCTTCAGAGAGAGCATGACCCTGTCACCACCTTGATCCGGGGTTTCTGGCCTCTGGAATTGTGAGACTATGAACTTCTGTGTTTTAAGCCCCCAAGTTTGTGCTAATTTTTCCCCAAAGCCTTAGAAAACTAACACACAAATCCCCAGGGCCCTAGATTCAAATTCATGGCTCTGGCCGGTGCTGCTCAGGGGACAGGCTGGATCTCCTCTGAAGCTCTGGCCCAGGAGGTCCTGCAAGGTTAATGCCATGTGGCTCTGCATTCCACCTGTCCCGCCAGGGGCAACTGGGTAGCCACAGAGAGGTGCAGGCTATAACAAAGGCGTGGAGGACTGGGACGCACACCCCAGGGGAGGAGGGTGGCCAGGAATTCAGACCGCAGGGAGCTGGGCCTGAGCGCAAAGGCCTGCTCCACACCCACCCCACCACCCTGTGGAAAGGGACCCCCAAGGATCCACCTTCTGGTGAGGTTTTCCAGGATGAGCTGTGTGCCCAGAGGCAAAGGCGATGGCTGTGGAACTTAGCCCAGGAACTGTGCATTTTGCCGCGAGCCTCAGGGTGGCTGCTCCTCAGATGAAGAACTGCGCAGGGACGGAGGAGGGTTCCGGTCCCAGAGAGCCCAGGGGCAGCCCAGTCTCCCCCCAAAACCCTCGTGCTGGAAAGTCTGCCATCTGGGAAGGATTTACCCCCAAGGCGGGCATCTGTGTCTCATCACAGAGCAGTGGGGAGAGGGCTTATGGGAACAGAGATGGGCACAAGGTCTCCCCCGGGCTCTGCAGAACTCGGCGGGACTGAATTCTAGAAGGTGACCACAGAAGACTCCTAGGTCCCTGGTCCATCACTTTCTGAACTTTGTGAGAATGCAATTAGCCTGGGACACTTGTTCAAATGCAGGCTATTCGGTGGGTCTGGGGTGGATTTCTAACAGTTCCCAGGTGATGCCAAGCCCTGGTCCCAGCACCACCCTCTGAGGAGGGACCAGTCTCTTAGAGCAGAGGAACCAAGGCCAAGAGAAGGGAAACAACCTGCCCGAGTCCCAGGGCTGGATGCTGACAGGTCTGGCCTGGGAATCCAGTCTGTGACTCTGAGCCGGCAGTTTGCTCCATTACAGTTGCTGTACTTACTTCTTGGCTCGAGCGCCACCGTGTGGGGAAATGCTTTTCTCCTTCCTTGGGCTAAATCTGTTGGGATAGGGGCACATTTTCTACTGCCCTCCTCTTGGGCCCAGGTGCCCTGAAGCAGCTGCCACCCTGAGCGGAACCCCCTGCAGCCCAGCGCCCTCCCTTGGGCCTTCCAGTCCTGCCTGTTCCCCTCCCGCTCGGAACAGCTCTGCATCCTGCACCTTCACCCCCATGTGGATTTAGACTCTCCCCCAGAGGCCTAGGGTGGGAGCAGAGCCCCCATGTCCCGGTAGAGAGTCGTCCCCTGGCCCCTCCCGCTCAGGGCACTCATCAGTGCTCCACCAGCCAGTGGACACCAGAAAGTGGTGGGAAACTCCACGAAGCTTGGTGGCAGCCAGGATGGCCCACAGCTGACAGGCAGCAAGCCGATGACGATCTGCAGGGCCCCCAGTGGCCCCTCTGCTCAGGCCGGTATGCAGAGCAGGGCCCTTCAGCCCTTCGGCCCTTCATCCCCGCTGTTTCTGTGGCGGGAACGAGGTCTCCTGACTGGGAGCCCTCTGCACTGACTTCCACCTCCGACCAAGTCAGCTGACATTCCTGAGCCTCCGTTTGCTCATCTCAAAGGGGGAAAATACCTATCCAGGGGATCTCCAGGATTAAATAGGATGCTACGTGCAAAGGGCCTAACACAGTTCCTGGCTGCTTTCCTGCCAGACGCAAACCCACAGCAGGAGTGAGGGACAGGGCTCACCCTCGGGTCATCTGTCCTCAGTGGCTTCCCTCCCAGATGCCCCCCTGCTATCTGCAGAAATACTGATTTCATCCCTATGAAAGCCTGTGAGTTTCCTTTTATAAATGGGTGTCGGCCGATCGCCTGGCAGCCCAGGTCTGCTCAGGCAGGTGATGGCAGGCAGGCATTCCCACCCCTCTGCCTGCTGAAGGCATGCAGAGCCCCAGGTTCACTGTCACCGAGCCCACGGCAAATGTCGCTGCTGCCCCCAGAAAGCCAACCCATTTCCATGCTGACTTTGACTTACAGTTTCTCCCTGAGATCATGAGGCAAGCTGGTGCAAACCATTACTCATCTGTTTGCATCACCCCTTTCTCGGCACCGTGCAATCAAGTCAAATTCAGAAACAACGTGCGTGCAGTTAAGACCCACACTCCTTGGCTTCAAATGTTGTGCTCACTGCAATAACCTCATTGTTCGCAGGGACTCACTTTATAATAGATACATGCTATAAAATTGAAGTTGTAAAATACATTTCTAATAATAACACATACTACTTTGATCTGTTTTAGTCACAGAACCGAATTGCTGAGGGGATTAAGTGCCATCGGGCTTGGCCCAGAGTCCGTAGCTTAGTCAAGATTCAAAGAGTGGGCTCTGCAAATACCTGGGGGAAGGGCGTCTAGGCAGAGGGAGGGCAGGAGGTGGCTGAGAGGAAGGGTGTGCCGGGGTGTCTGTGGCACCCCAAGAAAGCCAGAGTGGCTGGAGCACAGCCAGCCAGGAGGCAGAGAATCACAGGTGAGGTCAAGGAGGTGGGTGGCGAGTCAAGTTTGCTTTATTTTCATCCTGTTTACATTATTTCTGTGGTTAGCTTCTTTTCATGGGAAGATACTGACTTTCTGTTTGTTGCTGATACAAAGCACCCCTCTCAAATAATATGAGATGAGAAAAACATCGATTTAAGGAAACAAAGGGAATATAATGCAGTCCACAAACAAACATCGTGAAGATTGTCCTCGGACGGCTGAAATTTGGGAAATGAGGAAGGCGGGTCCCTCTCCCTCACCTTGTTCACTCAGCACAAGCAGGTGTGGAACGCAGGGGCTGACCGGTCACTGCCACCTCCGCTGTCAGGACGTCACAGTGTCGCTGACGGGCTCCTGCCCTGGGAGCTGGCCAGGGGACGCTGTGCTCACTTCGCCCACCTGCCCCTCACTGTGCAGGGAGCCGCTGAGGCCCCGGGAGGCAGAGAGGCGCATGGACAGCTTGGAGGAAGGACCGGTCATGGTTTCTGTCGGACTCAACGTCCCTGCTGCCCCCACCCCACCTCCAGGGATTCAGACACGCAGGTTCCCCCGGAGACTTAGCAGGTTGAGTGCAGGAGAGGCCGGGCCCCCTGGGCGCCAAGGACCCTTCTCTGGCTCCCTTCACAGCTCCACGTGGACAAGCTCCCGAGCCTCCACCACTGACTGGGGAAAGCGGATGGGGAAGGGAGGCGGTGTGGAGTGGGCACCGTGGTCTGCTCCTGAGCTGGCAGGGTGGGCGGGGAGGACCTGGCCATGCCCTGGGCCAGCTTGGGCAGGTGCTGAGGGGTTATGTGGTTGAGGGCCTGGAGGTCCCTTCTGTGCCTGAAGAGATGGGGACCATCCCATCTTGGCCACCAGAACAGGTCAGACAGTTCTCCAAACAGCACCGTTTGCCCCTTTCAGGTAATGACCCCCTGGGGAAGGGACCACGGGGTGATGCTGCAACAAGTCCCAGGGCCTCTTCACCCCTGCTTTGGCTCCTTCCATGTGCCACCTTGAGTCACGTCCTCATAGGATGGAGGAGGCCCCCTGAGCTCCAATGGTGTGTCAGGAACAAGGGACAAGTCATCCCTCTGCAAAAGAGAAGCCACTGTCCCCAGTGCTCACATATGTGGGGCAAGAGGCCCTTTTACAAAGCACTTTCCCACTGGCTCACTTGTTGAGGTCCTGTTTCCCATGAAGATGGGGACACTGAAGCTGGAGAGACAGACGGACTTCCGTGAAGGTGGTGCATGGCTCTCCCTACAACCCTGTTCTCGAGAAGGGAATGGGGACAGGCCCTCATTCCAGGCTGGCTACCAGCATGCAGGCGACTACACACAAGTCGCTCACCCTGTCGTATTCCCCAGTGGGGCTGGGCCAGGTGACACACCAAGGTCCCTCCTAGCTGCCATACACTAGGAGCATGTCTAATGCTAACAGCGCCAGAAGGAAGGCGACCTTGCTGATACCTTGCTTCTAGTCCAGGGAGACCCATTCAAATTGCTGACGGCCAGAACTGTAAGGTAACACAGCTATGTCATTTTAAGCTGCTGACTTTGTGATAATTTGTTATAGCAGCAACAGGAAACTGATACAATTGTATGCAGCATTTAGCATGGTGCCTGGCACTGCAAGTGCCATAAGTAGGAAAAATCTCTGTTAATTCCTGCAGCCAGGTAAGGGCCTCGGTGTCCCCGTCTCTAAAAGTGGGGTTGGCCTCAGTGATTGCAGGCCCCCTGCCAGCTCTCTGATGCCCTAATGAGAAGATTCTGCCAGACAGCTGGGCAATGACTGGGACAACTGATTTGCTTGGTGTTACATAAAACTTGGGGCCACCAACTCATATCTGCATTACATGAAAACTCAGTAGATGGATTACACTAACATGAAAACAATCAGTGTTCAACTAGCAGGATTATGGGGAATTTACAACATACGTTTTCATAGAGTTCTAAAGTGAAGCTTATAATATGAATCTTTTTCTTCGGTAAAATGAGTGTAGGAAATCACTTCTGGTCAGGGCCGCTGGGGCAAGGATAGACTTCTGCTTCCTAGCCGGTGGCTCTGCCATTCACACATGCAGACAGGGCCCGGCTGTGGGTTACACACACCGTGGGCTGAGGCCTGGATTTCCTTACGGGATGCTTGGGCTTGGGGAGTGATGTGACTTCTCTAAGCCTCACTTTATTCATCTGTACAATGGGGAAGTAAGTACCTACCTCAGAGGGTTGTTGGGAAGATTCAGCTGAAGTTACGTTTATCTTGAGCGCCTCCTAGATGAGTACCTGGTGTGCCTGAGTGCCCAGCCCGATGACCCCTCTCCTGCCCACCGCAGCCAGACCCCACGACATGCTTCAGCTCTCCCAGACCTTCCCTGTCCTGTCACCAAGCTATTGCACACGCTGTCCCCACTCGGGAAGTCCCTTCTGTCATTGTGGCTGAATCCTGCCCTCCACTGATCTCCCCAATGAGCTCTCCCCAGCCTTTGGAGCCGGGAGTGCAGTGGCCTGCTGCTCTGAGAGCCGTGGCTTTTTCTCTTTGGTGGCCCTGCATTTTCACCTCAAGTTGGCATTCTCTGCCCTGTCCTTTCTCTCCCCTACTGGACTGTGGGCTTCCTCTGTGGCCCCGCTTAGGAAATGCTCAGCAACGAGTGAGAGACATGCTTCCCATGTACCCCCTGCCTGAACGTCCCCATCCCTGAAGGGCCCTCACCTCTGCAGACAGGCGGCCCTTCCTGCAGGCTACGGCAGCCGTGGGCCCAGGCAGCAAGACCTCAAAGCAGGCGAAGCAGAGCAGGACCTGCTCCAGTCTCTGGATGTGGACCTGGGAGGGGGAGACAGGGCAAGGCCTCACTGGGTGCTTGCACCCATCACACAGCTCAGGGGGGGTCAGAGGGCAGTGGGGCTCCCGCTCCCAGGTGTGCATGGGAGCGGGGGGGTGCCGCATGGGGCTGGGAGTGGGTCTGCCTCTGTCACTGCTCTACGCCCAATGCCCCTGCGTCCTTGGTGAAATTTGTCTGTCTGAGGGCTGGAGAACCTCATGGGTCCCTGATAGAGCGGCAGGTGGCCTTAGGCACACCTCATTCAACCCCACTTAGATGGGGATCCCGGGGCTCAGGGACCAGGAGCGTGTCTTACAGCTGGGGAGGGAAGAGCTAGGCTGAGCACCACAGTGCAGCTGGGACATCTCGTGGGGCCAGAGCACTTGGTGGGGAAGTGTGTGTGTGTGTGTCCGTGTGTGTGTCCGTGCACGTGTGTGCATGCATGTGTGCTCACGTGCGCATGTGCCTGGGGGAAGGCGATATGGAAGAGAGAGCCAGCATAGCATGGTCAGACTTTTGGAACCTGACCCAGAGGCCCTCAGCCACACACGTGGGGTGGCCGGTCCACCTCCTGCTTCAGAGGCGGCTGAGGTGAAAGGAGCACTGGGCTTGGAGTCTTAGACTCAGCTTCGAGTCCTCCCTGCCCCCCTGACTTGCTGTGTGGCCTTGGCCCACTAACTTAGCCTCTCTGGACTTCAGTGTTCACTCTCATGAAATGGGGCAAGGCACTGGGAGGCTTACGGATAATGACCTTGGGGCCACTGGGCTCCAGTGTCTAAGGAGCCTCCAACAGGGAACCAATAGTTCCAGGCTGTGGGCCTGAATTTGCTGCCAACAGGCCTCTCGACCTCAGGCCGACCCCACTCTGGCCTCACTGTCCCCATCTGTAACAGTGGGATTGGACTCAGTGATGGGAGCGGTGCTGACCTGCGAGAAGGCCAGGGAGACCTCATGGGACGAAACGGGCGGGCCGAGCTCCCTACGCCTGCGCCCAGGCTCCAGAAGAGGTTTCTGAGAGCCGGAAACGTGCCTTCCTGGGAGTCAGAGAACCCTGGGGCCTGGGCACTCACTGTGCTGTTGGGGTACAGTCTCCAGGTCGGGGACTCAAAGGGACTTTCCAGAAAGAGATCCTTGGCAATGACAAAGAGGCCGGCGAGCACGCAGAAGAAGCTGATGATGTTTGCTATCAGGCACAACTTCTACAGGCAAAAAACAAAAGGGACCAGCATTGTCCAAGGTGGGAGACCCAGACCTAGTCCAGGCCTGCCAGCAGCCTGCTCTGTGACCTCAGGGGAGACTCTGCCCGTCTCTGGGCTAAAGACTCCCAGCAAAACATGAATTTTTAGCTAGCTGACCACTGAGAGGCCCCAGTGGCCCTCACCTTCTACAGGGACAGGACTGGGGGCCCAGGGGTGGCCTCTAGATCCAAGACTTTGTAATAAATAAGGACATTCCTGCAGAGGGGACAGGGCGAGGTGCTGGGCAGGGGACAGTGCAGCACAGCACAGGGGAGGAGCACAGTTGTGGCAGGCTGGTACTTAGAGGGGAGAAGCAGATGGAAACCCAGCTGCGGTCTGGGGCTTGCAGACTAGCTGCTGTTGGAGGCAAGCCCAGGGCACCGGGGAACCAAGGGGGAGTCGACAGCAGTGGGGTGATAGGGTCAGACTTGAACTTGAGGACAGTCACTCAGCCGCTGTGTGGAGGACAGGCTGGATGACACCTCCAGGCCAGACAGTGGATGGAACTGGGGTAGGGAAGGGCAGCGGGTGGAGGGAAAGGCGTGGAGTCAGGGACGTGAGGGGGCAGACTTCAGGGCAAGGGGGCCTTTCTGCTTGGACACCTCTTCTATTTGGAAGACTCGTGCCTGCTCCCGGCAAATCCTGGCCGGCTGCCTCCCGATCTCCACTGCACACAGGCGCCCTGCACAAGGCGACCCCGGCTGGGGATGGAAGGGAATGATCTCAGTGCTCCAACTTACCAGAGAGGTTTTTGAAACCACTTCCATTGTTATCGGCAAAATCCCAGAAATGAGGAACTGCAGGCCAGATTTGAAACAGTCATACGAGAGAAGCTGGAGTTCCTTGAAACCCACAAATCCCTTCCCTTCTCACTGTTCTCTAAGAAAACCCACTTGTGGCGGCCAGGGGGGTTGAGAACACCATTTCTCAACAAAAGGAGCTCACCTTGCCCGCCACATGGCCGGTCCCAGACTTGCTCCAGCCAGTTGCTCTGCCCTCTGCACACAAACCTCCACACCTGGGATCAAGCTGTGCCCTGTACTCCAAATGCCCTCCCAGTCCCTCCTGCTTCCCCATTTTATTAGCCCAAACCATCCCTCTGGGATCAGCTGAACTATCCCCTCCACACAGACCCTTTCTCTTCCTGAATCCTGCAGGGGGTAGGAGATTAGCTCTCTGTTCAAGGTCTCTGGTATATTTCTGCAGTTATACTTACAACTGTTTGCTGAGCACCTACTACATGCCCACCTGGGGCATAGGGATGAATGGGCACTGCGCATGGAGACAATTCCATCTCTGTGCATTGGAAGCTTGGGGCTGCTACAGTGGACCAAAGTGACAGTGGGTGGCTGGGACACTTGCCCAAGAGGGTGCCATGGAGCTGGGACACTGTGAGCAGGACTCCACCAGGGACCCAGGACGCCCTGGAGAGCCTTGGGGAACTGTGTGTGCACTGGTCTCCTCTCCTGTCCCTGGTCCCTGGCCTTCAGAGGACAGGAGCCACAGCGGACACCCTCATGCTCCTGCAGACCGACCCTGACAGGGACTTAGGCACTAGGATGTGTTGCTGCACCTGAAGGCAGCCTGGCCGCCTGGAAGCCCGAGGGAGGTCGAGGGGCGCCCACTGCATGCTCACCCCCTTCTCTGCTGGGGCGCCTGTTAAAGGAGGGGAGAGCACAGAGAGCCAGGCGAACCTCCTGGGAAGGGGCTCTTCCAGGCACGACTGGAGGACAGAGTGGAGAGAGGGACCTAGAGAAGGCACCCGCTGGGTTCTCTCTGCCCCACCTCGCATCTGGCCCCAGGGGCTGGGCCCCCCACGCCCGGCCCATGTTTGGCTCCTACTCACAGACGCAGCCCCCCAGAATGGGTACCAAGACTTCAGCACCACCAGGTGAAGGTCCTTGACTGCGAAGGCCAGGTAACCCCCGAGGGCCACGTGCAGCACAGCGACCACGACTTGGGAGGCCTGGGCAGGGAGCAGGCAACCGCCGTTAGGGGCCCAGCCCTGAAAGCCGTCCCCACCCCCGCACGGCGTCTTCAATTTTAGGGTGAGCCTTAAGCCGGGAAGCTGGAGGCTCTCTCCCCTTGCTCCGTCCTCAGGGCTCCCCCCCACAGCTCCTTCCCCCCCAGGGCCCAGGAAGCGGACACTCACGCCCAGCCCCTTGAGAAGGAGGCTCCTCTTCCCCGGCCTCTCGGGGCGCCAGTCTGGAGGCCCGCAGCCGCGAGGGGCTGCCTCCCGGGCCAGGCCTGTGGGGCCAGGCTGGGGCCCCCCAGCTCCAGGTCCGGGAATAACTGCGGCCGCTGGGGTGGCTTCTGCCGCCATGACTCGGCCTCGGATCCCACCTGCCGGCCAAGGGGACAGGCCGAGTCAGGACCCATCTCATTTCTGGGGCTGGAGCCTGGGGAGCCTTAGTGCCTGGCACCTCTGTCCTCTGGGCCAGCCCTTCCAAGACAGTGGCTGCTCTGCTCAGCAGTCCCAAACTTGATTTGACCTGGAATGGCCTGGCCCCCT